GGGGTAATTGGCCCCCGCCTTGCTTGCAGGCAGCTCTGCTGTCGCTGTGCCTTCCCATTTTCCTGCTGCTGGTGGCTTTGTGTTGTTTCAGAGATGTTATCTACACGCCCGGGGTCGCTGAGCTGGACCACGGTGGTGGGAAGTTGTGAATTAGAACAAAAGATGGCACGAGTGGAATGATTTTGGAAAACTCCGGTTCGGAGGGGCCGGAGCGTCTCTGCCCAGTGGCTGGTGCCTTGGGCTCGCTGTCACTTGTGCGAGAGAGTCAGGTCCCGCGGTGGCTTCGTGCCTGCTCTGCCTGCCCCCCGAATGCCAGGTGTCTGACTCCCTTGGGAAGCACGGGGGCTCTGTGGCCCTCCTTTGTTCCTCTCCCTCTTTCTCACCCCTGGGAATGAGGGGGGACAGTGAGTCCCGACTTCGAGTCCGGCGGACACTGGTCCCCCCCTAGGGGATCCGTGACTTGGATGTGGCTTTTAGAATATTCTGAAATACGAAGATCTAGGAATGTGAAAACTGTGGGAAATGGCTTTCAAAAATGGAAATGGGGCCCTGGCCAGTTTGGCTCAGTGGTTAGCGTGTCGGCCCTCGGACTGGAGGTCCCGGGTTCAGTTCCCGCCAACGGCACGCACCTCCGTTGCCGGCGCGATCCCTGGTCCCAGTCGGGGTGCATGGGGAGGCAGCCAGTCGATGCGTCTCTCTCACATCGTGTCTCTCTCCCCCCTCCCCACTTCCGCTCTCTCTGAAGAGCAACCGAAAAAATATCCTCAGGTGCGGATTAAAAAAAACAAAAATGGAAGTGGGGGGTGTGTGTGGAAATCTTTGTGACACTTTATTGCCCACATTCCTTAGGTACCTGAATATCGTGCACATTTAAAAATGGATTGTCTTTAATTTGCCTTTTTCATAAATTGGTTACGCTCCGTGCATTTAGACACATGAAAGGCTAGAAAGATAAAAAGGAAATATTTGTTTTCTTAAGTTTCTTTTCCCTTTTAAAAAGCTTAAAGAAAGAAAAAGCCCTGGTGGGGCAGGTCTCCCCGGAATGACCTGCTCGCCTTCGGCTCCGCCCTCTCCCGTCCTGTGTCCTGTGCGGCCGTCCCCGCCTGGAGCAGGGTACCCATCGGTGACCAGCGTCCCCTTTTTCTCTTTGCAGTGCGCAGAGGCCAAGAAACACTGCTGGTATTTTGAAGGGCTCTACCCAACATACTACATGTGAGTATCTGCGCTTTCCTGCCGGTTTCACTCTGTGGACAGCTCTTGGGCTGGGAATTCTAATTCTTCACCAGGACTGGCTACGGGACGGAGAAAGCCCTGTCTTGGGAGGCCCTCACCCGGGCTCACCTGCCTCTGCTCGCCAGGTGACGGCCCTGAGGACACAGCCTGCTCGGGCCAGTCACGTTGGGGACCGGGAGGAGTACCAGTGCTGTGTCCCGAGGGGCATGTGAGCTCACACTCGAGTGGTCAAAGGGGCAAGACGTGTGAGCAAGGCCAACATTATGCTGGTTCATATGGATTTCCCTCGGCCGAGGGAGTAAGGGTAGGGGGAGTGGGGTTTTGAACTTGAGCAGGAAAAGCAACCCAGCACAGCTGCTGTGCCTGTGTGTGTGCACGTGGTCGCGAAGGTCAGCTGGCCCGGGGGCCACGCCCCAGGCAGGAGCGGTCACGGTCACGGTCACGGTCACGGTCACGGTCACAGCCTCGCACGGCTCTTCCTGCGCCCTCGGTGCCTGCCAGTCTTCTCTAATGAAAGCATCGCTGCTTTCCCCTGTATTTGTATTTGTGTTTTATTGGTGCTGTGTTAGTCGCTGGCTGTTCTTGAGCCACCTGACGAGGTGCCCAGATTATCAATTATTTTTTTTAAAAAGATTTAAAATTGACTTTTAGAGAGAGAGAGGAAGGGAGAGGGAGAGAGAGATAGAAACATCAATGAGAGGGAAACATCAGTTGGCTGCCTCAGGGGATCGTGCCCGCAACCTGGGCACGTGCCCTGACCTGGAGTCGAACCGGTGACCTCTTGTGCAGGGGTCGATGCCCAACCACTGACCCACACCAGCTAGGCAGCCAGTATGTATGTTCTTCTTACCAGTCATTCTCGGGGAGTTTCTGATTTTGAAGAGCCCCGCGTGGGAGGAGGAAGGCCGCCNAGCTAGGCAGCCAGTATGTATGTTCTTCTTACCAGTCATTCTCGGGGAGTTTCTGATCTTGAAGAGCCCCGCGTGGGAGGAGGAAGGCTGCCCGGCTGGGAGCGGGGAGGAGGCCCGGGAAGGGGCCGGCTTCCTGCCTGGGCTTGGTGTTGATAAGCAGGAACCCTGAATGCCCCGCATAGTGGAGTCTCCCCCCCCAGCTTCTGACTCTTTAATAATCATTTTAACATTAATGTAGGTGGTTAATACTTCAGTTACAGACTTACTTGTCTGCAAAAGAGTTAAANGACTTACTTGTCTGCAAAAGAATTAAAGTCAGTATTTATTAGAAAACAAAATAACTGCACCAAAGGACACTTCTAAATAAGTTAAAAGAAATTACGACCTTAAATTTTAAACAAAAGTTGGTTTTCACTGATAAAATAATTGAAACGTGACTGAGTCCCCAAGTGTTTCCTACAGATACTTTGGAAGTTGTCAGAGGGAATATTGCTTTTTCCCCTTGCCTCCTCTCTCTCGCCCTTTCTGTTCCTCTCAGTGCGTCCCGTTAGGAATGCAAACTCGAGAATTCAAGGCAAAAGGTACGATTTCGCTTCACAGAGACTTTTCCTCCATTTGTTTCCTCCACTGTGAAAACAAGGTGAAAATTGAGTAGAACCAGACTTTTCTCAAAATAATGCAGGCTGAGTAAAAAAACACAAATTAGGATGTGTAATTAGATTATCTTTGGAGAAGAGGTATTTTCTTTTCCTACTAGAAATAGCAGAGCATCGGTAATATTTTCTTTTCCCCCCCAGTTGCATGGTTAATTAGCATACATTCCAACAGCGTGCTCGAAAGGCATTTCTAAGCCAGAGGTGTTTATTTCAACAGTTTCTTCATACTGTTTTGGCTCATTCCGTGGCCAGGAAAACATGATGTTTTGTCTCTAATTAGACAGTCAAGAAACAAAACAGATATAAATTCTGAGGCTTAAGCCAGTATGACCCCGTAAAAACCTGTCATTACGTCAGGTATAAGCCTCCCTTCTCCTCAAAAGGAAAACGAGCTCTGCTCACGTGCTCAAGATTCCAGAAGCACCTAACCGCTGAGCTCAGGTGCCCTGGGAGTGGAGCGAGCACCTGTCGAGCCTGGAGTGGTCCAGATAACACAGGTAACTTCAGTATCAGCCGGAAACAGGCGCCGGCCTCAAATTCAGAGTCAAGGAAGGAAACAGGTGCACGTGCTTTTAAAATGCAAGACAAGCCCAGGAACGTGGCCGGACAGAGTCCAGCGGCCTGGGGCCCTCGGAGGGCAGAGCGGACGTGCCTGCCGCTCTTGAGGACAAAAGCGCAGAATGGCCCCATGGTCACGAGAGGGAGGGTCCGCGCTGTAACTTCCCAAACCGGCCTTCTCTGGCTGCCGTCGCCGTGGAGCGGGAGCCACGTGAAGAGCGTGACCAGCACGGAGAGCCCGGGCGAAGCTGCAGCGGCCCCGCGCGTCCGCGCACCTCAGCAGGCGGCAGCCCTCCCTTGGCAGCCGGCCCGAGGCTCCTCAGTGAGCAAACAGAGGACGTCCTTGTAAGCGGAGCAACATGGCCCGTCCCGGGCCGCTGCACCCGGGGCCTGGAATAGCTAGAGTAGGACATGGGGATCCACCAGTCCCTGTAAAACATCCCACCCCCAGAGGGAAGCGTCTCAGCAAAGGCATTGAGCCAACAGCGCAAAAGGCAGAACAAGTGAGAGCGTCCGCATGCCCGGGCAGACGGAGTTAAATACACACAGGACCGGACACGAGCGCCCAAGGGCCCGTTTAATATTCCTGAACGGGGCGCAGAGCCTCGCAAAGGTGTGGGACACATGAAAGAAGCAGCCAAACCCCTGTGCAAAAAAACTGCGCGGCAACCAAACCCCGTGTTCCTGCGGCCGACCCGGGCCAGCTGTCCCAGGGGGCGGGGTGGGAGCAAACGAGAAACACAAGTCCTGGTTGACCCTCGGGGCTGGGACAGCGCCTGAGGTCTCCTTAGCTGAATGCGGTCCCCGTGGCACATTCTCTCCGACAAATCAGTGGGCCCGGCCACATCATCAAACGACTCTGAATATAACAACGCACCAGGAGGCTGGTGGCGTGGGACATATCTGTTAACACAACACATGTTGGTCCTGAACCTACAGCTCCAATTTGGAAGACCGTGAAAAGCAAGCCATGGAAGAGGGACTGGATCACCCGATGAGAGCTCCTCCTGCAGCCGAAAGGGGAACTGGGGACGTGAGAACGTGGCCCACCACGTCCACGTCACAACAGAAAGTCGGCCAAAAGCATGACGTGACACTGAACTTCATCAGCATAACCTACCACCAGTGTCCTGCGGACAAAGAAATGAGGGCGGTAAACGTGACATACTGTTCTGATGCCGTCCACCTGGAACTGCCCATCTCAGAGAGGTCACCTGTCAACAGAAGTCTCCCCAGGACCCGCGGGTGCTCGGAGACCTTGAGCTCCACAGTGGTTCTTTCCTTAAAGAACAGAGAGGTAGTGAGGCCACGCCCGCCACTGTCTGAGGATGTCAGTGAGGTTGGTCACAGACCATCACACGAGTGCCAACTTCCTTCCTAAAAAACTGCTTCAGTTCCTCTGCCGTCCGCTGTACCTACTGTTTTACGTCAACCCCACCGCGACTGGTGTAGGGCTCTAGGGACCGCTTTGTAGGGCTTCCTTGGTCTTCCTGGCCTTCAGGATTTTCCCTGGACGTAGCGATTTCTTAGAGACACCTCTTCACCGACCTGTGTTATCTGGGCTCCGCAGCCCGACGGCGGGGACCTTGGCAGGGAGGGCGGAGCCGGGAGCCGTCTCAGCGCAGCTGGCAGGCAGGGGGGCTCTGGGCCAGGCGCCCAAGGCCAGGAACCAGCGAGTCTTGGCAGGAAGCCTCCGCTGCTGCTACAAAAAGCCAGAACCTGGGAAATAAAGCAGCAGAGCGGAGACTCGGAGTCCGGTTCCAGAGTTGTCAGGTGGAAGAAAAATGGGTGTGGGGGAGCAGGGGGAGCAGGTATTTCGGTTCTTCGTGGAACAGTGAATTTTCCTGCCAAGCTTTACTGCCTCGATTCCGCTCCCATGCAAGTGGGGCTCAGCCCTGTCTTCGTGGAAACGATCTCTCTCGTGTCGTTTCGTAGGTTCGCTAATGAACCATTCCCGGGTTTTCCGGGGCTGCAGGAGTCGGAGGTCCTTGCTGTTCGCTGTTTACTAGTCTATTTGCTCCCTTACTCCTTTGCTGATTTATGACCTAGTTTGGAAATCTTTCTGGGTTGACGGAGAAGACGAGCCCTGTTCTTGTCACTCAGGCCTCCCACCTCTCTTCTCTCCCCACCGTGAGGGGAAGGGTCCTGAAAAGTAAAAAGTCACGTCCCTCTGTTATTAGGGTAGCGAAAAGTCATTGCCAACATCAACGTCGAGGGGCTCCTCCTTGCCCATGCTTATTTCTAGGAGTTTTATGGTCTTAAGTTTCAGTGTTTAATCCACTGTACGTTAGTTTTGGGGGGTGGTGTGAGATGGGGGTCCAGCTCGATGTTTCTGCCTGTAATTATCCAGTTGCCCGTCGCCATCTGTGGAAGAGCCTGCCCTTTCCCCTGGGTGTCCTTGCTCCCTTGTCGAATGTTGGTTGACTGCACCTGTGAGGGTTGACTTCCGGGCTCTGTTCTGTTTCATTTGTCACCGTGTCTCTGCATGATCTCGAATTTCACTCCAGCGTTACTGTTATCAGCGAACGGGGGCTGCGTTTTTGTAAGACAATTAGAATGGGGGAACCGCTGAAGCCAGTGGCCCAGAGCCTCGGGGAAAGCCACGTGCTTGTGCTTTGCCCAGCTCGGTGGAAACAGATGCGTGGAAGGCGATTGCTCACGTGTGAAAGAAAGATGGGTGCGTGAGTTACTGAATTATAACAGAATTAATGGGTACACCCAGCGGCGTCGGGCGTCCATGGAGTACCTGTCACTCCCACGCCACTGCTAAAGGGGCAGGGAGGGAGCCAGTGGGGACCCTGGGAATGAAGACGAGGTGGGCAGGGCCGCCCTGCAGGAGCTCCAGGTCCTGGCTCACCCCCACCCCCACCCCAACACCC